TTAACGGGTATCGTCCGAATTTCGTACGTATCATCCTGATCAGTGTCCTAACTAACCACAGCACAATTGATGGTAGCTGTATATTCCGGTACTTCTAAATCAGAGGGTCTCATGTGGAAAGGACTAAGTATATTCACATGGAAAATTTTCTTTTTGTCTTTGATCATTATTTCGTAATCGACATTCGTCACTATTCTAGAAATAGTATAGGGACCCATCCATGCCAATTGTAATTTATTTTCTCTTGAGGGTAGTAGTATCCTAACCTGGTCACCAACCTTAAATTTTCTTACATGTCTACCGACGTTCATTTTAGATCTATATCGATTAGCCTTATATCTCAGGGTTCAGTCGGTCATCCACAAGCAAAGATTTCATGATATCCATAGGACCTTTTGGGTTGGCACCAAAAACCAGTTCAAATGGAGAGAAGCCAGTTATAGAGTGAGGCACTTCTCTGTATGCGAATAATAGGCAAGGTAGATATAAGTCCCATTCGTTAGCATTCCTCTTAGGAATTTTTCCCATCATTGTCTTAATCGTGCCATTCAGGCGATCACATATACCATTGCTTTGGGGATGGTATGGAGATGTAAAGGTCTGTTTGATCCCCAGCAAGCACGAAATTTGCCTAGTAATTTCTGATGTGAACTGGGGTCCTCTATCGGAGAGTATTGTATCGGGGAATCCCGTTCTTGAAAACACCTGTATCAAACAGTTCACAATGTCCTCAGAAGTTGTATTTTTGAGAGGGAATGCCTCAGGCCATCTCGTAGCGAGATCGACAACGGTCAAGACAAATCTATGTCCCCTTGCGGACGTTGGTTGTAACGGTCCAATTATATCTATTGCTATCTTTTCGAATGGTCTGCAAACCAAATCAGTTTTCTGTATAGGTGCCAACTGGGGCGTCCTAGTTTTGTTCATGCAGAGCTTACAAGATTGGATGTATTCTGATATATCCCTATCCATTCCAGGCCAATAAAAGGCTGACTGAATTCTCTGCTTTGTTTTCCTGCTACCCATGTGTCCAGCAAGACACAGATCGTGAGCCTGACTGAGTATAATGTTTCTATATCTGTGTGGTATCACCAATTGTTTGTATTCCTTGGTATGGTCCCTAAATATTCTCATTAGCGTGTTATCTTTAACAATAAATCCATGTTCTGTTGTTTTAGAGAACGTTCTCGAGTTTTTCTTAGCTAGTTTAAATATTGTTTCTAAACTATGGTCTTTTCTCTGTTCCTCTTGAAATTGTGTAGGGGTCCACAGACTAGCATTATTCAATGATTCCTGAACGGTTGACGATTCTTCTTTTATCTTTTTCTCAGTTAGGCCGCCTTCAATTTTCATGGCTCCCATTTCCTTTATAATTTCCTCCTTAGATTGTCTCCTAGTCTGTACCTTGTTTATGTGATGTCTTGTCATCCACTCTGAAATCTGGTTATCAGATGGATTCGATATCCCTTTTATGTTCCCCAGAATAAAATCGTATGGTCCTTTAGTGAAGACTGAAGCCCTAACACTACCCGTAAAGTAAGGTGTCTTAATATTGATAATTGCGATGGGCTACGAGTGAACGATTCCCCCGAACCCTTCTACCCTTACTCTGCCCCCTGTATATTGATGCGATTGTACAAAATTTCTTCTAACTCCACAAACATTTGCTACAGTATCCCTAAGTGTTTTAACAAGTCTATCCCCTACCCAGCACTGTATTGTACCCAATCTAGTATTTGTACTAATGTTTAGAACCAATGATAGTCATCTACCACTATTAAGGTGATTGATCCCCCTGGAGGACATACCCCCTTCCCACTTGGGCAGTCTCTCTTAAAGTGACCAAATCCTTGACACTCAAAACATTGAATGGTCCTGTCCATATTTGCCCCTCTATATCTGCAGCTTGTAGTTGTGTGCCTTGACTGTCCACATCGGGAACAATATCTCTGTCCTGGTATAGGGTTCCTTCTATTTATGTTAGACTCCATGTGACGGTTACCTCTCCAAGGGACCATCTGTCCCTGTTACCATTCTGGGCTTGTGCAGTAAAGATATTATGGTCCTGCATTCTCCCAATGGGTCTGTCAGGGTGAGCCGCCTGATATTTTTGACATAGGTCTGTCACAGTATCCAGGGTTCTAGGTTTCCGTTCTTGCAGGTAGCTGAACAGACCTTTGTCCACTGATGTCAGGACCTTATTAACTAGGATCAATTCCTTTAAATTTTGCATAGTCGGCTCCAGCCCGGATGCTTCGAACCACTTATCGAAAGCTGTCCTGATGTTGTTGCTGTATATTTTGAAGTCCTCATTATTCTCAGGGAGTACGTCCTGAAATTTAATTCGATACGCCGCCTCGGTCAGATGGTAAAATTCCAATAGTGTCTGTTTCAAGGTCCGATAATTCTTCATTTCCTCCTCATTTAGGCACTGGCAGGCATCCAAACCCTTTCCTCCGATCAGTATTAGTAGGTGTGTGCCCCATTGAGACTCATGAATGTTGGTGGTTTTCGCTATGGTCTCAAATCGTTTAATATAGGAGTCAAGATTATCTCTATGCTCATCAAATTTAGGTATTTTCCCCAATATATTTGCATCACTAGTATGGGTCCTGTCCATGTTAATTGCTGTCTTAGTAATTCCAAATTGGTCCGATTCCAGTTTTGCTTGATAATCTAATTTCATTTGTCCCATGCTTACCCTAGCCTGTTCTTCAACCTGCGTTATGACTCTTGCTACGTTTAGTTTCATTTGCTCCTCAGCCTGCATTCTAATTCTATCTAGATCTGCAGTTTGGGCTTTAGCCTTCTCTACTTCTAATTTTGAAGCTTCCAATTCAGTGGGAATCAGGGATAATTTTTCTAACAACCTTAATTGTTCCCTTACCCATGTTTCTAGTTCTTCACCCCTATAATCTAAACTTTGCCCCAATTCACGCAGCTTCTTTGTTTGCTCGGCACTCATTTTTGTTTCTTTTGAACAATTATTTTCAGCCAGGTTAGCTACAATTCTGGTTCACTAGTGTATAACAGATCTAGATCTATACACTATGGCAACTTCTGGATCAATTACTACAATAAAATTATGAACCTACCACAAATGTGCTAATAAAATTTTAAAATGGTGGTACTTATCTTAATTAACGAATTCACACACGGGTCCCGACACACAGATCCCCTTGACTTGTCCAACTCGTCCTGCTACACAGATCCCCTTGACTTGTAGTTCCCAACAAATGTCCCGAGGTGTTCCGCGATTATTCCGGATCCAATGTTTATGAGGTTCAACAAGTCGAGTTTTCAATTTCGTCTTTTCGGTACCGTGTTGCTGACGTTTCACGATGAAGATTGTGTCAGTGTTACATACACGGCTGACGGAGGATGGGAAAACAGCTGGTTTTTCTCCGTTGTTGAACAATTCGCTGTACGCTCCAGAGGTATGTTCTATCAGTAGAATGTGCTGTACTGATATGTTCCACGATATAGAAAATTAATTCTCCGGTGTCTATACTTCCGCTGATCTTCCCAGCTCGAAACTGCAACAACCGATTCCTCTTATCCAGATGGGTTTTCAAAGGAAGATACGAATACTCCACACGGTTTTTCACGCCAGGATCTTCACACACGATTTTCAGAATAGCAGTCCATATATCACGTTCTTTCAAGCTGCTTCACCTTGTTATACTCTTGTTATATCAGGTATACGTTGTTGGCTACTCCACCATGGTACGCTGATTGAGGGGCTTTGGTTATTTGATCCAATACCATTTTTCCTTAACCACTACCATGTGGAGATGTTGTGTTCACAGACATACATTGTTCCATCATTCACTAAGACGAAGTGGACGACCAACAATCAATAAGAGGAACGCAGGCTTCTTTTCTTATCTTTAATTCTGTACCCTCAACTCACATACATCCTTTCACCAAGGCGAAGAAAATCATCCTAACTCACGCACAATACCTAGCAACCAGTCTCTACACCAGAACGTCACTGTCGCACCATACGCGTCATCATTCCTTGCGTTCAACATACCTTTCCCACCAACTTTCATTCGCTCTGATCTATAGCATAGATCCTTACATGCATCCTAACAATACACATATATATATATATATATAAATATATAGGCCTATATATATATATATATATATATATATATATATATATATATATATATATATATAGGCCTATATATTATATATATATACTAAAGTTAGGGTTGTATGCAGTGGCGTAGCGAGGTCGGGTGTCACCCGGTGCGGCAATTAATGGTGTCACCCCCCAGAGGCTTTGCGGCCCTCCCCGGGGACAAACTTTCAAGTTTTAGATTTGCACCCCCCCCCCCCCTTCAAGTTTTAGATTTGCACCCCACCCCTCAAACTTTCGATTTGCACCCCCCCCCCCTCAAGTTTTTCTCTATATATTTTGCTACTTTTTGCCTTGGTGTCACCCCCCTCCCCTAAATGGTGTCACCCGGTGCGATCCGCACCCCCCTCCCCCCCCTCGCTACGCCCCTGGTTGTATGGTACAATCCATTACAAGCCCTTATATCTGTTTATGGTCTCCTACTAAGTCTGTTTCTTTTTGTGACGACCTGTAACAGCATGTTATTGGTAGGTAAACGTTGTTTTAAAAAGCGTGCCGCGATTTATGGATGACCCCAAACATTTTTTCGTCTATTGTGGTTATCATTCAAGCGACAAAATAATATTGTTTTTAAAATATTTAAAGAGCTTGTAACTGTTATTTAATTTAAATAGCTTTAAAAATAAAAAAATTAAAATAAAAATACGTAATCTTTATTAAATAAAGAAAGTGTTGAAATATTAATGTTTTAAATTGTCAAAATAGAATCATTAGCATTTCTAAAAGATTTGAACATAGCCTACTCGTTTTGGTTAAGATAAAAAGACATGCTATTGTATATCTACTATAGTGGCTTAGACAGTGCAATTAGAAACACACACGCTAAACTGGTTATAGTATGTTTACGTACAAGAGAAGGTTAAGTTAACACTGCTTCTAATGTTGCTCTGTCTGTGTACTCTTAGCTCTTGGTTTCTAGGATTAAGTTTACCTAGACGATTCTAAAAATAGACATGACCCGCATAGATCTGGGGAAATATATGCTTGTCTTTCATGTTGGTGTTGTTTACGTCGTCATTCACCGCTAGAAGTAGAAGTTGGTGTGGGTAATGACTTGAGTGACAATAGGTGGTGGATGGTGATAATAAGGGGTGCGCGGACCTTTGACCACAGGTGCTTTGACCATAGGGGGTTTGACCATAGGGGGTTTGACCACAGCGGAGCTTTGACCATAGCGGTGCGTTGACCATATGGGGTTTGATCACAGGGGGTTTGACCATATAAAAATGTGCATAATAGTGCGCAATATTATTAGTACTTTAAAAATTTTCATTAGTTTTTTGAGAAATCGGAAGTAGCGTAAATTACTACTTCCGGTCAACGGAAATTACTCAAAATTTAACAGAAGGTAGAAAATTAGATCTTTGACTTACATTTGAAATTTCATTTATCTATCTGAAATAGTACTCAAGTTATAGGCTTTTGAAAAATTCAAAGTAGGAAAAGTACCACCTCCGATTATCGGAAATGGTTCAAAAGTTGAGACGGATCTACGATTTGATATATACTTATATATGAAATTTCATCAACCTAGCTGTAACGGTACTCAAATAATCGTGTTTACACACGGACAGACACACACACACACACAGACATACGGACAAGATTGCAAATTTATGTTTTTCCGTATCAGTGAGGTGTAAAACTTCGAGATTTGTAAAAATCTCGATTTTTTTTTTGCACGATTACAATACTTTCTCTATACTTCGTATATACGAGAAAGTAAAAAGCAATATTAGAAAACGAATTTTAGACGTTATTTCGCATTTTAGAAATTTTTTAAAATAAATTGCAGTAGGAATTGATATAGATTCTAATATTCTAATTTGACAGAGTTCAGACAAATATTTGGAAAAGTATCCATGTTTTCAAAAAATTCAACTACGATTTTGAGGAGGGGGGGTTTGTAGGCTGAGGTGTGACGTCTTTTTAGGGGGGGGGGGGTCTGGCTTTTTGTTACGATGTGTGACGGAGGAGAGGGGGTAGGTAAAAATAGTCAAAAAAGCGTGACGTCATTTATGTATGACCCCCTTATTGTACAAGCGATACAACAATGTTGTTTTTTAAATATGTAAAAAGCATTTAATGCTATTAAATTTAACGAGCTTAAGAAAATAAAAAATAAAATACGTAATGTTTATAACATAAAGAAAGAATTGAAATAATAATGTTTTAAATTTTCTAAATAAAATCATTAACATTTCTTCGAGACATGAGCATATTTTTTTGGGTTAAAATAAAAAGACATACCATTTTATATCCGCTATAGTGGCATTAGACGATACAATTAAAAATACACACACTAAAACTGGATATCGTATCTTTACATACCAGAGAATGTTTGCTTTACACAGCTTCAAAGCTCTGTCTGCTATGTGTACTGGTAGCTCTTGGTTTCTAGGCTTGTGTATAATAGACGATTCTAAAAATATACATGACCTGCATAGATCTGGGGAAATCCCTGCTTGTCTTTCATGTTGATGTTGTTCACGACGTCATACACCGCTAGAAGTAGAAGGTGGTGTGGGTAATGACATGAGTGACAATAGGTGGTGGATGCTGATAATAAGGATAAGAACTGTGACGTGTTGTACATAGAGAGGAGCTATGAAATGTTCTTTTTTTGGAATGAAATGAGGGAGAGCTGGTCTTTCTGTAGTGTCAATACTTGTTTGGTTGGATGGCGGGTCACTAGTCAGCCAAAAACATTTACTGACCCGCCATTATTGCGTTCTTGTCCCGGGGCATATAAGACTCTATGATGTGTCGACTGCAATGCGATTTAACAAATGAGTTTTGTCTTCGAACAACTACATAAAATTTAAACTTATTCGTATCATAATAATACGTTTTATGTATCGTTTTATTTTTCAATCATGTCCATATAATCTTGTACCACATGACACTACGGAGAGAGAACCGTCTATAAATTAGATTCCGTCAGTCATAGTTTATTCTCTTCTTAAAATCTTTACCCACGTCAACGAATGGAAGTTCAACTTGATCGATACTTATTGATCCATTACTAAAAATAAATCTTACCTTTTTCTTTGTGTTGAATGTATTAAGATCGGGCTTATTCCAGAGTTGGGAATAAAAGCATTGCCGTCACGTAAAGGTTAACAAACAGCCAGGATAATTTCTTAAAAATATACGTGTTTGCCAGATTTTTTTTCTCATTTTATTGATTTCAACTATTAAACAGCGTATTACTTATAAATCGTAAATATTTATACTCTTACAAAATGCGTATGTTGTTATTTATTTAGGTCTTTATCTTAAGATATGTGTTGCATACGAAAACAAACAGATACATATTCAATTAAAATGTTCCTTTGTTTTTATCTCATTCTTGTCAAAATGTGATGTTCTGGAATGTTTGGGTGTGTGATATTTAATTACGAATTTTGATGTTACCTTCATTATTGTCATGATGATATGACCTAACAATGCATTCAACACCCATGTTAGCCAAACCAAAATGTTAAATGATAGAAAGGCAGCCATTCTAGGCATTTTTAAAAAAAAATCAGTTACTCCAGAATCATCGAGAGAAAACTACGGGGTAGTTTGTTACTGTAAAATGAAGATATTAAAATGAAAATATTATTCAAACATATACACATAAGCAAACATATATATATATATATATATATATATATATATATATATATATATATATATATATATATATATATATATATATAAAAGATTTTAAGAGTTAAATTTTAAAATATAAAAGACGTTTAAAACTTGTAAAGAATAAACACATAGAGCTACAGGCACACCGTTGTCAATAGCTGTAACTTGAAACACCTCTTGTTCTGGTGGTCGTTGATTGAGGGCACGTAGTGGGGTGGGGGAGTTGGCAGTGGGTGGGGGTTACTGTTTACCTGTAGCTCTAGGCTACACACGCTGCCAGCACCGAGCTAAAAATAATTCTTTACATTATAAATGGATTAGTTGTTTGGAATTCCCGATGGTAACACCATGTTAAGAAAAGTGTATGTGGCACTTCTATGTCAAGTCGTTAATAATGCAAACAGTTTGTAATCCTCTGCAGTAGTAATTGCGTATTGCAAATACTTTCGCACATTAAAACACACATACACAAACAGTCAGATTTTTAAGCACTGCTGTCCGCAGCTTAAAAAAAAAGACGTGGATGATTTGCAAAAGAAGCTAAAAAATAAATTTAGACAAAAGCTTTGGATAAAATCCAGTCAATTTTTTCTTATTCTAAAAATAAACCTTATAGTGTCTCTGTAGTTTGTTTCTTAACAAGTCCTTTCATTAATAACATTATGTTGTACAACCGAGTTTTACTTCACCTCATTGTCGTGAGCTTTCACTAATGTAAACATAACCCTCTCTCATAAAATGATGTCCAACCCTGCTCGGTGTGGGTGATCATGCTGGGTGAAGAACATAAATAATGATCAATTGAACGATTCACATAAATCGCATAAATAATTTCTCCACAAATTTTCCCCACGCACATTCTATCTATATGGTCACATGGCTCTTAATATGCTTCTCCTCTCACAATAAATAGCGACAAAATTAAACATTGCAACGATATCTAACATCAGCGATGACTTTTTAAGAAAATCTTAATGAATATCACCCTTGGCCCCCTCTCCATTACGTACTTCGTTGGTTGAGGCGTTCCACCCCAAATAGTCCCCTCCTTCCCCCTTCGAATGTTAATTTACTGACAACCATTGAATGGACTATAAAAATAACATGTAAAATTGGCAGTGAATCATATCGATTAAAGTGTATGCGGTGGCTCTTTGTGTTTGACATTCTATAGCCTTATCTTCTTCGAAAATAAAAAAAAACAAATCAATACGACTCGGTTCTATTCCATAAACATTTAAAATAATTTTAAATATGGTGACCTAAAAATATAGACAAAAAAGCTTCATAATAATGAAAATAAATAAATTCAAAAGTCCCGAGTTTAGGCCCCGAGCATATGAGGCTCGTTTACCTGGGGCGAGCAACCCATATAGGAGATGAAACTCCGAATCAAAACAACTTTTGCCGTAAAATTTGTTTTTGGGCAGTTTACTGTTTTGGAAGAACATCCAGAATACAAAACCGGCTGATGGTGGAGTCTACTGGCTGTACATGGCATAAAAGTTTGACACGTAATAGTTTTATAATGTTGAAGGATTGCCACTATATTATAATTATGAATACAAGCTAAAACGAATTCAATTTTTAAACGCATCTAAGCTTTAAGGTACACATTTGAGCAGTTGATCTAGAAAGTCTTACATTAAATGCTAAGTCATTTAAAAAATCCATACAATACAAGAAACACATGTCTATTAGCTTATGTAAGAATGTTGTTTAGCTTCCTTGGAGTTATGTTGCAACAAGAGATGTATTATAGAGCAACTAGTACATATGACAGGGTACTTTATTTTATTCGTGTGTTTGTGTGTATTTGTTTGTGTGTTTGTATGTGTTTGTGTGTGTTTGTATGTGTTTGTGTGAGTTTGTGTGTGTTTGTGCATGTTTATAATCAAAGAGACACTTAGCGATTCTGAAAGAACTAATGGCAGAAGATATGGCATCTACTGCCCAATATAGCTAACGGCTAAGCTGGTTAAACAAGACATAGAAACATTAATAGCTTTTATCGATGTTTTAATCAACGTGTGCATTAAGTAAACTGTCCATTATTAGTTTATACAGAATTATCAACAGACTATTCTTTTAAACGTAACCTTATAGGGTATTTACATTTTGAAAATATATGTACTTTATCAGCTATATACTCAATATATCAACTGCAATTTAGGGTAAGACGGGATAACAAAACTTGATAACAATAGATTTAATTATAAGTTATATTTAACAACTTTAAGTAGAGCATAACATCCACCCTTCCCCTTAGCAATTACCACGCTGTTAAATACCAACCAGAACATTACAAGATTTTAGTTATAGCACATTTGCTGACTATCAGCTAGGGTTCTACGAAAAATTTCCGAAAGACACTTGCCCGAATGTCGTTTCATTCGGGCATTTGTCGTATTTGGGCAAGTGTCCATTCGGGCATTTCTTGCGTTCGGGCAAGTGTCCATTCGGGAAATCTGCCTTCGGGCAAACGGTATTCGGGCAAGTCTCTATCAGGAAATCTTCCAGCTCCCATCAGCTAGATACTTGATTTAACTGTATACACCAGAATGTTGCCAAAAACAATGAATGAAAGTACTTGAACAACATGACGATAGATTAATGCGACAAAATATTAACGAAGATTCCACACATTTTGAAACATAGCATTTTAAAACAGAGTTAAATAAGGCAGATGTATCGTGAAAAATCACATAGACCCCCTTTTTAACATATCAAGTAGGTATATTATGACAGCTTAAAGTTATTGTGGCATATCAGAGATTGTGAGAATTCACGATCTTATACAGTGACTAGACAGGTAGACTTATTGTGAAATATCAGGTAGATGTGATGTAATAACTATGATTGAATGGTAGGACATCATTAGGTTAGTTAGGTTAGGTTTGACTGTCGTCCCAACTGGGACATAGGCCGCTGACAAGAGCTTTCCAGACGTATCTGTCCTGGGCTAGTCTCTCAAACTGTTCCCACGTATCCAATCTTTTTGGTGTCTTCTGCCAGGTCACACCTCCAGGTCTTTCTTGGTCTGCTTCTCTTCCTCCTGCCTTGTGGATTCCAGGTGAGGGCCTGTCTTGTTATGAGGACATCATTAAGCCTGATTAATTAATTTCAGCGGTAGAAGACATTAGAAGAACCATTTATAATTCTTAAGTGCGTATTCATCGACTCCAGATCGTAGTTTGAATAAAGTAAAAAGATATTATTGTGTTTTTACATTTTTTCTTCCTACGCTGTTTTTTTAAATGTTAAACATGAACTTAATTTTATAAATTATTTTAAAATATATAGAGCTACAGTTGTCCAAACATTAATTGTTTAGTAATATATATTAAAATCATTTTATAATTCAACAAACCGTTAAGCCAAAAATAATTGAACCAAAAATTAGGAAATATGTTTTATTTTTTAAGTATTAAAATGCCATGTATGTACAATTTGTTAAGACAAATACAAGATATTTAATGGGAACACTGGGCTAACCAATTAAAAAGGTTATTTTCTAAGAAAACAATTAGCCGATATTAGTTAACACCGATTAGAATGATAGATAAGAAATTTATAACAAATACAACATGTTTAAATTAGTTTTATATGTAATAACATAACGTTATGACTGAAACAGTTCAATCAAAAAATAAGTCCCACAAATATGTGTGTTTAAATTGTGTAGACACCAGGAAGGAACTGTCAATTACATCAGCCTCTCCACTCTCCACTATAATTTCCTTCCGAGTTTGATGCACTGTGGGAATGGCGATACAACCTCCCGCAATATCCCAGCATGAATATAGGCGCTCCACTGGAGCCTGGACATGTACTTGTTGTGTACCAGTACCTGGTCCAGATATGGCCATCAACCCTCTCTTCTTTGCGTGTCCATTGTCCTACAGAGACCTGTTTAGGACAGCCATGAGGATGTGACACTATAACGGTCAACTTGTCCTCATCAACAAATCTCCCGTATTTGTCCTTTACTTTTTCACAAAGACTATAGAAGCGCTGACACACCATGTCCATTTCATCAACCAACTCTAAGGTATTTGATTCACATGTTACATAAATAAATACACACCTGTCTCTCTCAATTTCTGCCCCACCCACCTTCCAGCCATTAAGACTGACCCCTGGTCTTGTATTATCATCAAAACCTAAAATACAGCTGGTCTGTCTCGCCTCACTGTCATCAAACACCACGTGTGTGGCTGTCAACACACAAACCTCCCCCCACACTTTGCTGGGTGTTGCAGAGACTTGACACTTGGCACAACGACAAGTTTCTTTACTATCTGTATACTTGTCCGCCCAACAAATCCTCCCTGTCCCTAACCTCATCACGTGACTTCCTTTGTCATTATAAAATGGATATGGAACTAGAGTTCCTGGATAAAACTCTGGTCTCTCTAGACTGGTGAATTTAGTCTTTACCTGGACAGTTAGGGCTGCCAATGTTTTGATTGTCTCAGACATGAGGTCTTCGTCATGGTAACGTGAGGGGAGACAACCCGAGTTAAAATCTTTAAGAGGTATAAAACCTTTGTGACCTGGATTCTTCTTACAGCCAGTAACATGTTTGTGTAGATCACCTTCTCCTTCATAGCACATCTGAGCTTCATGATTTCCTACACAAATTTAAAAAGGAAACGGTTACATTGCCTAACACTATCAGATTTAATAAAATCAACTAGACGTTTACACTAGGACATATTAACAATTGTTTAGATTTGAGATTATATTTGTCATATCTCACCTGGATGAAAGAGAACTGTTGGGTTAGTTTCGGTAACTTTACCGGGACCATTAGCATATGATGCACCTAAAAAAACACATACATATATTTTAAAATTATATTAAAACAATAATTGTATATAGTATAAATCATCTATACTCTACTTTTACAACAATGTTTTAGTTATTGAAAAATGGACGACAAAGTATTTGCTTTACAATGTCATATTATCTTTTAAACGTTATTACCAAAATATGTGTTCCCATCAATGATTTAATATTTATATGGTTTTACCTTCAAGTCCACTTTGTGAGTCCAGTTTTCCTTCTTTCAGTTTGATTGAGGCTTCCGTTGTTACTTTCTGTAGATAAAGGCAAACATGATTTCACATTCAAAAAAATAACTAAGGATTTCATAATTACGGTGATGAAAAATAGCAAAATTAAAACTTAATATCTTTAGAATTAACTTTACGTCAGTATAATTGTATACCAATTTATGATGTTTAATAAAGAAAGCTTTACTTTACTGCTGATTCTAAGCTCAACGGGTTACTGCATATCCCTTGGGTCTATAAGCTGTGCGAAAAGAGGAGGCTTGATACATGATAAACATTCGACTCTTCTCAACTTAGGGTCCAGCCTTTCTGCTTGGATTTTCATTATTAAGACTGTGGAGCCATGCATAAGATTATGTAGACATAGCAATCATGCATAGACATTTTATATAAAATAATCTAAACCACATAAAGTGCTAATCATTAATTCATTTCCTATATAAATTTTTTTAAATTAAAGCGTGTGCTTTTTTATATTTTGATTTAGAAAATATTTATAGCGTCGGTTTCGCAAAACTTATCAAAGTAGCGGAAAAAATAAAACACGAGCACAAATGAGTGTAAAATCTTCATTAAAATTAATAGCTTTAACTGCAAAACTCATTTGAAACGTGTAGCAGTAACAATTTTATCAAGTAAAATATTAGCAATAATATTTTTTTAAAACTACTTCCTTATATCAAAGTACACCAAGTGTCACGTAAATGGGACGCTTGCAATAAATGGCCCCATTTAGATTTTTGCACAAACATCACAAGAAACAGAGACGTAAATGTTCATGTTAAATAATTACTTATGGTGAAACAATGGATAAATGTGTTAAGTGTTGACTTTGGGGTGCTAACTAGTATTTATAAAAGAGTAATTATAGCATTGACCTATATATTAGTTATTTCATCATCATTTCCTGTTCGTGCCCAAGACACATGGGGCTGCTGAAGTAAAGTTCATCTGCTTCAGAGGCCTCAGCATTTGAAAGGATAGTGTGGTCAGCACTAACATAAACTAAGTACCCATCAGAGCTGGGTGTACTCAGGGACGAACCACTGACTTAAACCCGGATTCAAACTTGAGACTCTCGGGATAGCAGTTTAGCTCTCTACCGCTAGACCACGCCGTCACGTTAGATATATATTTAAGTTTAAAATAATGAAAGTTGAATTTGTTTTGGAAAATTTTAAAATGTTATTTCTTAAGAGTCATATTTACTCTTGCTGTGGAATTCAATACAATTGAATCTACTTATTTTGTATTTCTTCAAATTCACCAGCCACATGAATTAGATGTTAAACAAACGAGAGTAATAATAATGGTCACTATTTAAGTAAAATATTGTTATATTGAATTGTGTAAACAGCGCAATACTATTCAACTTTTTCCATATAATGGAGCTCAAGTTTAGAATAAGTTTTATTTGTTTCACTTTAAAAGCAGTTAAAAGCTCTATCCATATTTTATTTATTCCTTACATAAATGTATATATATACAACAATATATATATATATATATATATATATATATATATATATATATATATATATATATATATATAGGCTATATATATATATATATATATATATATATATATAGGCTATATATATATATATATATATATATATATATATATATAGGCTATATATATATAGGCTATATATATATATACAATCTATATAAACAATCTATATATATATATATAAAATAAGGCAAAACAGATGTGCAGGGCATTAATAAATCTCGTCAAGCATTTTTATGAAATTTCATTTATCTATCTCAAATAGAATTCAAGTTATAGGATTTTGAAAAATTCAAAGTAGAAAAGGTTCCAATTCTGGTTACCGGAAATCGCTTTAAAATTGATACAGAACTATAAATTTGATATAATACTTATACATGAAATTTCATCAATCTAGCTGTAACGGTACTAAAGTTATAGTGTTTACACACACACACACACACACACACACACATACACACACACACACACAAACACACAAACCCAGACTTATAGACAAGATTGCAAAACTATGTTTTTTCCGACTCAGGGAAGTGTAAAACGTCAAGATTTGAAAATATATCGATTTTTTGCACTATTACAATAATTTCTCTGTACTTCGTATACGAGAAAGTGAAAAGTATTAAAATAAATTATGTAAATTGAATAATTCAGCCATTGAAATAATAATGTCAATATAAAACATTTACATTCTATATAGATTTTACTATAGTATTTATGTTAAAACATAAAAAGCCTTTCGATTTCATTAATACTTACATTTAAATTCCATAATAAAATAATACACATCATATGCCAGGTGTTGAACTTAACGTATCGAAGTAGGTTTGGTTTACACTGTGACATTGATCCTACCTAATTAGATCTGGGAAAAACCGTTATTGTCTTTAATTATGTCTTGTTGTTGACGTCAGCAAAAACCAAGAGACAAAAATTGACTTCATTGCTGGTCATCGTATACAGTCAGAGGGGGGTGGGGGGAGGGTGGTATCGGCAAATAATTTGATTACAATTTAATATGCGGTGGATGGTGAAAATAGGGTTAACACATGTGATATGTTGTATTTGTGTTTAAGAGAAATGTATAATTATATTTTATTGCAAAGAGAGGAGCTATGAAATTTATTTTACATGGGGTTACTCTTACTTCATTGGTTAGCTAGTAGTCAAGTTAGTCAGCCTATAACATTTACTAACCCGAAATTCTATAAGTATAGTCCCTGGACTTAAGAGTTTAGATAGCTGGGTACAGCAACACATCCGTGAGAGAAAAGTTTAAAACCAAATAGAAATTTGGGGGTCCTGCAATCGAAATCGACATCAGAGTTCACATCAATGAATTAACGTTTATATGGTTTTACCTTCAAGTCCACTTTGTGAGTCCAATTTTTCTTCTTTCAGTTTGTCTGAGGTTTCCGTTATTAGTTTCTGTAGATAACGGCAAAAGTGATTTTATCCTTATAATTAATTTGTACTATACAAGTAAATGGAGAGATTGAGAGGGAACTTAGTGTAAAGTTAAATTATGATATTCTTATCCGATAAGCTTTCATGAGACACTAGGATTTTCGTTCTGAAGGTGCATCCATTGTATTCCTAGGCGAAATGCATGTACATATTTATATCTTTATATCTGGTGAGACGTGAATATGTACATGATGCAGGAAATAGTATTAAGGGCTAAGGTAAAAAACATGTAATGAAAAAATCATAATGAGATGTTCCAAGTTTGCTTTATAATTTTTTAATTACCAGTTATGTTTTGTCAGTTCTGTAATTACATTATCATGACTAAATGTTTGCCATCGGTTGTTGTTTTTAACTGCAAAAAATCTGACATACTCTAAATATGATTTTTAAAATGTGTATTTCCTTGTTACATCAATTCTAAGCTTGAAATTATTATAGTCCTAATAATAAATCTCGTGTGCCGTTATATTTTTCTATCTGGTCAAACTGTTATACACCTTGCTTCTACAGAGAGAGAACCCTCGATAAATTACATTTTTTTACTAACGTAATTTTTTTTCTTTTTAAAATCCTTACATGACCCAACGAACGGAAATTCAAACTGATCGCTAATTATTGATTCAGTACTAAAATTATACCTTACCATTTTCTTTGTGTTTAGTTTATTAAGGTCAGGATTTTTCCAGAATCGGGAATATAAGAATGACCTTAATCAAACAGGAACATATCTTGTCGGTTGGCTAACAGCCAGAATAATTTGGAAAAATACATGTGTTTTCTAAACTATTTTTTCATTTGATTGAATTGAAATACTATCTGGCGCGCTAAAAGATATTACGTAGTGTATTCCATTTAATATGCTCTTACAAGAGGCGCATATTTAAATTAAGTATTTTAACTGGGCCTATATCTAATGGTACGTGCAATATACCTTAAAATATGGCAACATGGCATTACCCCACGTCAGTTGCCCCTGGACATATTCATTCAACATTAGCCCCCCCCTCCCCCACCCGGATTGATTACACCTCTGTCAAATCCCCCCAGCCAAGTAGGGCATAACCCTCCCCCCCCCCATCATAGCATAAAATACAGTTATGGCCAGGGCTAGGGCTAGGGCTAGGGCTAGGGCTAGGGCTAGGGCTAGGGCTAGGGCTAAGGCTAGGGCTAGGGCTAGGAACAATAAACACACTGTCAGATTTCCACCCTCCCTTTACCAATTAACCCCCCCCCCACCCTCATCTAGAAAATTAACCCCCTCTCCCAAGCTTAAGAATCTCCAACTCAGACATCACTAATATGCAGTGGCGTAGCGAGGTCGGGTGTCACCCGGTGCGGCACTTAATGGTGTCACCCCCCCGCCAGAAGCATAGCGACCCTTCCCTCAAACTTTCGATTTGCCCCCCCCCCCTTAAACTTTCTATTTGCACCCCCCCCCCCCCATCAAACCTTCGATTTGCACCTCCCCCCCTCGTTTTTTTCTATATTTTACTATTTTTTGCCTTGGTTTCACCCCCTTAAATGGTGTCACCCGGTGCGATCCGCACCCCCGCCCCCCAACCTTCCCCCATCGCTACGCCTCTGCTAATATGTACATAACCTCCTCCCTAAAATGATGTTGAACCCTGCTTGGTGAATGGCTTAGCTGAGTCAAGAATATAAACAATGATAAATATAACGATTGAAATAAAGAGCATAAATACATTTTTCACAATTGTTTTTTTTTCAATGCACGTTTCATCTGTATGGACACATGGCACTAAATATTTTTCTCCTCTCACTAAATATAAAAAAAAAAAAATTGCAACGATATCTTACACGAATAAATATATGTTTATTTACTGACGACCCTTTAATAAACTCTAAAATTACCCTATAAAAATTGTCAGTGAACCATATCGATTAAGCACTATTTGGAGGCTCTATGTATTTGACATTCTACAACCTCGTCTTCCTAACAAAGCGAAAAATAAATCAATACAACACGGTTCTATTGCATAAGCATTTGCAATGAAGTGGAATTTTTTTAATGAACGTGTTAAATATGTTAAAGTAAAATAATCAATCTATATTATGCATCGAGAAAAAAAAAACAAGCAAAAGAATACTTTCGAAAAATAAAACTTCTCTACGGCGTTGTCGGGCACATCAACTTATCATACTTTCTTAGTATTGAAGGATGGCCACTTTTATATGGAATACACATTAGATGAATTCAATTTTTATAAGCATCTAAACAGCATTAAAATACACTTTTCAACAAAAGACTGAAATTAACATCTGATG